AGCTAGAAACATTAAAACGGCGCACAGTTAAGCATCATTATTATCTAGAATTACTTTTGACAAATTTGTAGCATACATATAGGCTACATAATAAAACTACTGAAAAGAAGGCGAAAAAAACATGACTCGCTCTGTGGATTTTTTTCTTTTCTTAATTTTTATAATAGTTTAATTTCATTTTCTTTTATCAATTAATGAAATAATTATTTATTTATATAATTGTTTTTTCTTCCGATCACTACTTGCACAATTGTCAGACAGTATTAATAAAATATTTTTATATCAGCTTCATACAATAATACATCAAAATTCCTACTCGTCATGTGCATGAAACACTCATCTTTTATGATTCTGATCAGGAAATGATCCTGAATCGATATAAGCTTATCTGTGCATCTTTCCCTCTGTATGTCTTATTTTCTGGTGTTTAACCTACAGTTCGCAATGTTTGGGATATTTTGACAAAGTTTGGCAAACTGAATCCATTTGCCCCAAGCATTTTGTCCGGATCAAACCATTTTTCCGACAACTTTCCTTATAAGTCCTTACTTTGGAAAGTCCTTATATGAATAACTGTTTTAAATTAATTGATATAGGGCACTTAATGGTGCGCCGTTGCTCAAATATAATTCTTTTCCTTGTGTTTTCATATAATTTACCAATTTCTTTAACTCTATTTACGATTTTATAAATATTAAGTGTATAACTAAATTTTCGAGTTTTGTTAGTTAACGAAAAATTAGAGATTTCAAGAGTGATTGCAAGAAAAAGGTTTATCTGCTGTGTTATCAACCACAAACCGCTCTTCCTCCTAATTTGTAGATAAAATATGAATGCCGGTTAAGGCCTAAAATTTGAGGAAAAATTACCTCAGAATGAAATGGTATCCAAGTCCTGGTTAAATAAATAAGGGGTAACGTCTTCTGATAACAGTCCGGAGAATACTATTTTACAAGCTAAGGCCGCTAAAGTTGCGTAAAGTAAAGTAGGGAATTTTCGCTATATGGGTTCGAATTTCATCAAGCTGTAAACTCATGACATGATTACTACGGACTTACTACGCTCGATTATATCTGTTGTTATTGATGGTTTTATTTGATTGCAAACAACCATGATACAACACTGCCAGCTGAAGACATTGTAAGTGCAAGTCTGCATCAAGGTTTTGAGACTTTGGTGCATGTCACCTCTAGAAATCGATTCAGTAGCGTTATCCTCCGATCTAAGCAGGGAAAGTCGCATTTTTTTTTGTGGCAAGAAATTCGATACATTAGTTATTAAAGAAAATATGATTTATGTAGATATTGCGACTAATTGGCTATCGTTAATGTTCAAAAATTAAACGTCTGTAAATCACTGCTGCTAATATCACTTATGTATGAGAACCGATAGCTTAGTTTTGTTTAAATATCCCTATATATTTGCATACGTATTTATGTTTACATAGATAGTACATTAAATCGAAATTTTATATTTCGTAAAATAAAATAAAGTTTTTTATTTATATGTATATAGACTCCATTTTATTTTGATATAGATTTAGTTTTTTTACTAAATCCGTATTTACTTTTAGATATATTTGCGATATTTATATATAGATTCAATTTACAATAAGCAGATTTGCTGGTTTTTATTATATACTAAATCAATTTTGCCTTAAAAACAAATCCTTAATAAAATAGTATGAGCTTGCATGTATTTTGATCAGCAACATTTATCGATGAAAATGATGAAATAATGCCAACCATCACTGCACACAATGATCAAATGCGATGACTTTGACCTTTCTCCCTTTTGGTATTACCGAGTTATTCAGTCTATAGAGACGCTAACGCGTGCGACGCTCAAAATTGCAATTTCGACATTCATCAATTTTGTTGTTTGATTTGAAGCAATCTGTCGCCGAGGCCCATCAAACTCTCTTAGAAGCTTGTGTTGTTTGCTGCTCCATCATATTCCAATTCTCGGTTTTAGTTTCAGTTTAGTTTGAAAGCCGTCACTTTGATCCCAATGCGAAAAAACGCTCTAGAGAACCAAAAAAGTACGGAGACAATGAATCGCAAGACTTATTAGACGAAACCGCAGCTCAAAGTCTTAAAGAACTTTCGAACAGGATAGCAGTTGATGTATTAAATATTTCTAGGCGTTTATACGCAATGGGAAAGATCGAAAAGGAAGGAAAACGTCTAACACCCGAATTGACTGAAAATGTTTTTCGAACCGTTTCAAAATGGCGATGTCATTACTTTCCAATCAAAAAAAAGAAGAGTTTTCCGTGGCGCACTGTGGGTGGAGATGGAAAGTCTATCTATTACGACAATCCCAAACGCAAAAAGTCAGCTAGTCCAGAAGAGCCATCCACATCCATAGCCTTAAAGGTTTGCTGTGCATATTTTAATATCACTTTAGCGAGATGTCACAGCACAAAGTGTTTTATACAAAAACTGAACGCAGCTGCTAAGCAGGTTCAAAGAAATTAAACAAACTTTGTTTAAAGCTTGCTTACGAATCAAAAAAAAAAGATAATCCATTGAAAAGGTGGTCGTGTTTTCAAACAGGGACTTGGTATCGCGTTTCTTTTCCGCAAACTCTTCTAGCAATTCAATACTTTTTACAAAGCTTGAAATTTTATTAAAAGCAATGTGCGATACATTATTAAATGAATATTTTCCTAAACAAAAAAATGTTAGATTATGTTTTGTTAGATTTAAGAATAATATTCGTGACGCGTTGTGTAGGCCCCCTATATTGTATCGACTAAGTTAAGAGTGTTTGACCATTTGGCTAACAACAAGTTGACCATTTCAAGCTCAGAAACTTGTCTAAGAAAACAAATTATGGTTCACATACTCGATTATTTTGCTGCCATTGACTTAATCGGATAATCGGTCTATTCGCAATCATTAAAATGTTGAGTCTCTAGTTAAGACTTTCAAGTTAAAAAATCGACCAAATCGAATCAAGAATTTTCCTACAAGCACGGGCTGGGAATTACGCCTATATGAAGGAGGGAATGAATGAATACTATATTCTTATTTGTGCATAATAAAGGAAGCCCTGCCAAATCCTACTAAAATTGAAATTGAAATGTATACTATACCGCGCACGACTGTTAACACATCGGCTGAACGTATCTTAGGAGTTCATATCACACATAAGCTAGTGGCGGGTACCAATAGTTTCGACCAAGACGAAATATAACGTTTACCTCTTTTTTTTCGCTCGATCTAAAATTCTATGCTAATCACTTGATATCTTTATATAGATTATAATATTATTTCATATTATCTGTCAAGCAAAACCATATATAAATAAAGAAGAAAATGAATTCGATTGCCACCGAATCTTTTATACGCGCCACAGTTATCCTAAAAAAAAACTACGTTACTCAAAAAAAACTACTACATCGAGCATCTCAAGCAGATATCCATGTGTTTGCCATCATCCATGTATGGTTACCACAGCACTTAGCAGGCAGAGGGACAGACGTACCAACAAACATGTCTAGAACGGTTCACATTTGATACTAATCAATAATATGAAGACTTAACTTTGCCAGACGATTGAAATTTTAATATCCTTAAATATTAAATAGGCGTGTTCCAGGATCACCCATAGTATGAAAGTGCGGCTCTCTATCGTTCTATGTGATAAGCAGACAGACGCACAGACAGAGCGACGGACGGACATGCTTAAATCGATATACTTTACGGGAGCTTTGAAGTTCTCTTCTCGGTAGTGCAAATGTTTTGACAAAACGAATGTACCCCCCTGATGGTGGAAGATTTATTAAAAATGCTAAAAACTTGCAAGGTATTCCATAGGTATGTTCCATAGTAAAAAAATTAATATAATATTTTTTTTTTATTTTAAACATTCAAGTTCAAATATGAAAATATTACTTTTGTACTCGGTATATGACATGTCGCTAAGCCAAGTAAGGATTAATATTCATTGAATAAACAACACATTTGTAAAATCTCTTCTTTGAAATATGCTCTTAAATAATTGCGTAAGGGATATGTGAATGTGTTATGCTGCCGGGTATAACATTTAACTTTTCTGTGATGTAATCATTAAATATGATAGGAAACAAAACCTTTTACATATACATATATGTGAACTAATCGCATAAGTTAGAAAATTTCAAATTTTGACAAAACACCTACGACATGAAAAAATCATATGACAAACAAGTGATGATAATTGAATTTAAATCGGTTTATATAGTCATCACCACGCACGTCCGCTTATTGCCAGCTGGCATCCTTACATGTAATGCATACATTCATATGCTCGCATGTGCGTGCATGCGTGCGTGCGTGTGTGTGTGTGTGTGGGTGTGTAAAACGCGCTCCTTTTTAAGCATACGCTCACAACGCATTCATAATGGAATATAAAGCGATTTAACAACTGCACGAGACTAGATACAGCTTAAGAATATCGAATACAAAAGCAGATATTCTCGCAAAGGGCGATTGAAAATTTTACCGTAAACAACAAGTTAACTAACTAACTGCAGTGACGAGTAATCGAAAACACAATTTGAATTTCAATTCCCTTTCATAAGTACATCATTCGATAAAGTTATAAAGCTAGCGAAGCAGGAATCGCAAAACCACTTATATTTCCACTTAAAATTATCATCCTTGAATGTTACCTGGTCCGCGCTGGAATCATGCATCAAAATTGCGTCTTCCTTTTCTATTAACTTTTCGTATTATTGCTTTGTTTTCGTTTTTTTTTTTTTTTCTTCTTATCCCTTTATTTTACTTTTTTTCTCTTTACACACTTTCGCAAGTTTTCCTAAAGCCATTAACATCATACAAACGAAGTGTTCGCACATAAAAAAAGCGCTTCGGTCAATAATTGCCGGAACTTATAAATACTTACGATCTCTAGCAAAGAATTTGTATTATTTTTAGAAAATAACTCCTCGTCCCGTTTAAGGGCGAAGTACAACGTCACGAGTGAAAATACTTCTGTCACGTTTGAAAGCATTAAGAAAGTTCTGGTATCGCGTATTGATGGAAAAAAATCCAATTCAAACTCAGCATTGGCTTGAGATGTGTTGTGGCAACTTTTTCCCATTGGGAGCAATAATTTGCCGGTAATTTGTTGCTTGGAAACAAGATCGTACGGGCACTGAAGATGCGGACGATGTCGACAAGAGAATCTTTCGCCTGAAAACATCAAAAAAACTTTGAAAATTATTCTTGATAAACGAAGAACGAAGTTACAGGAGTTAACTGATATCCTAAAGAAATGTGTTTAAAGTGTTTAGTATTTTGCACAAAATTTTGGGCATAAGACAGATGTTTTCGAAATGAATGGCATGTCTACGCACACTAGAGCAAAAAAACAGACAGTTGGCTGCAGTGGAAAAATTCCCTTTGATATCCCATCCATTGATAGACCTCAAAATAATGCTTTAGAAAGAGGAATTTTGAATTAAATGAGGAGATCATTGTTGCAGCCGAAAAATACGTTGAGAATGTCGACAAAGGATTCTACAAAATTGACAACGACGTCTCAAAGAGATTACATTGGTGAACAAAGTTAAATTTTATAAAGAAGAAAAAAAAAATTTTTTCACATAGTCCCGGGAATTATTGACTTTCATATTACACATGAATTCACACAAATTGATAAGAGTTATAGAGAGTAAAGCATGTTAAGCTTCTTCCTCAAAGATTGATCTTTGTCGGAAAAAGACATATGGAAAAACCGGTTACATATTTGAAAATAACATTACACACATAAAAGGAAATCAATTAAGATAAGTCTTTTACTACAGGTGTTAGAGCTTTGCTTTAAAGCGAATGTGCGCAACCAACGTCAAAAGCAATGAAAAATTTTTAAATTGACACTAAGAAAAAAGTAAAAGAAGATATTGTTTTTCTAACACGGTCATCCCGAGGCAGATCATAAATAAGCCAAAGAGAACAATAACTTTTGCAAACGTGAATCTAGCTCGATCGATACGATTCCCTATTACATTTCGTTGAGGATAAAAAATATTATGGGATTATCCAAGTCTGCACGGCAGTCATTGTTTATGCGGTACGGCCACTGTTTTGCGAGCTGCATGGCATTTGGCCTCGTCCGGTTCAAAATGAAATTCATTCACATTCAACAACATCTCTGGATAATATGTCCATTCACTAGAACAGTTAAATCGAGAGCATTATACAAAAAATAGCCCCCAATTATACCCCGACCTTAAAAAGTGCTCAAATAGTTCTAGATGGAGAGGATATTCGATTTATTCTCTTGAACTTCTGGAGCCAGAGATGCCCTAATTTTTCCCATTTACGCTCCCAAAATAGATGCAACTAAGCCTCGTCGCTCATAACTCATCACGTTTGTAGAAATTTTTCACTTTTTAAATTTGTAGTGCAAGCGATGCAATGATCGGCGCATGTTGACAACTACCGTTGTATATTGACAGATCAATGGTGAAGTGGATTGTTTATATTTCAACTTTTGATATAAATTTAAAAATTTTGTGTACTCACCGCAGGCGGTTTGTGTCCTTGCTTCGTAGTCATTAATTTCAACTGGTCTTCCAGAACACCGTGCATCGTTAGGGGAATGAAATTTTGTGAACTAAATTTGGCGCTGACGTTGTGGCAGCACATCCTCTCTATACACATTTAATACTTATTTCTCGCTTGTTTGAGGAATATTTTTCCCTTTTTCCCTGCTTGCAAAATCCCATATTTGAAAGACTACCAAGCAATAACTATAGCTTGGAATCAAATAAACTTTTTCATAAACTAGTCTCGCGTCATCAGCTGTCAAAATATGTAGCCTAAGTGTAAATTTGGATGCGAGAAAATTCAATTACATTCCTTTTAAAAAAAAAAGAAGCGAAATGATTTTCCGAACAACGCATTTTTATACAAATTATTAGCTATCTATTTAATCTCTACTGCATTCAACGTTAGAAATAATTGCAACAAACAATTTAAACACATTAAACGTATGATATTGTTTTTTTTTTTTATGCCTACATCAATACGAGTTCTTGCTTGGATACGAGTTGTTTCGTCCTAGTGTTGATAAAATAACATTTTCCTTATCTGGTTCTCATGTGTTTAACACTTCCATTTATAATAATATGTAACTCATATTCTCGGACGGAGAGATTACTTCCCATTTTGTGGACGAATATTGTTCTACACGTCTTTTTCTTTTTTTTTAAAGAGAGTCAGGGAGTGCCTCCTATTCGTGTGACCGCCAGAAAGGAAGAGGAGTGAAGAAAGTGAACGATACAGGGAGGTGGCCGCAGACTAGTGAATCTATGTGCCCAACCGACTGAACGCTTACTACAGCTTCGACCAATGTAAACTCTACCTAACTGAGATTACCACCTGCGAACAGTGACTTACTCACTCGGCTACTCTTGTGGACGTAGTATTTGAAAGAAAAAGAAAAAGGTTTCCAGCCCAAAGTTGATGTAGGAAATACGAAGTCGACGCACAGTCAACGTAGGTGTGGAGAGGCTTAAACATAATTTCAATTGAGTCTTGAATTTCAAATTTTTGACGATTATTTAAACTTCGAGAACGGAAATAATTATGTCCAATTTTCTTTTTTTTGCAAATTGGCAACTTCTTTTTGGAAAGTTTTCCGTATTGATTACTATCGAACGAAATATATTTAGCAAAGGAACGTCTCTTGACTTGAAACTCAAGGTTTATAGGGCGGTTGGTAATTTCGACCATAGTCAATTTATTTTTCAAACATGAACTGCTGTCTATGTATTTAGGAGGATACTTGAGGGGCTATTCTCGTAATTTTTGAATAAATGTGTGTGTGTAAATAAGTATGTTTTTTTTTGACAGCGCAATACCAACTAATGGCACTACACTGGGGTCAAAGCCATCCCGTAATCATTTTAATCATTAATCATCATAAATGGCGCCTTATAAGTTCTTGGTCACTAGTATCTACCATCCTATCTGCTCCGTCCACGGCTGAGATTAGGAACTCGCATGTCTTCGGTTTTATATTGAAGCATGTCTTCCACATCCGTTCCATCTTTCGGTGTCCACCGTCATGACCGCTATCGTGTTACGTGATGTCATATGTATTTCCAGAGATCTGAAAAGCATCTTTCTCGAATATGTTCAAGCTGGAGAGACGAAAACAGGGTGTTACAATAGCCTAGTACGTAGTATATATTTAAAGTGCAAACCATTTAATACATACGGTTGGAAGTATGACAGATTTATCTTTCCAACGGATACAACAAAAAATACGCATTAAAAACTCTGTAAAGTCGTGGTATTGCGATGTGAACAAAATATTCATTACCAACACTACACACTGATCCACAGCGTTTATTATTTCATAAAATAAATTTACCTAAATAACACAATTGCAAGTAGTTGACTCAAGTCCTGCTTTAATTCTCGCGTTCCCTTTTGGTATGTGAACAGAAATGCAGGCTATTGGTCAGTGAAAACAATACATTGAGATGCGGCCTATCATTAAATATCCTGCTGCACCTGGATTAATATCAAGTTCATTTCTTCATATAATGACTTTTCAGAATAGGGCTTCATATGCGGTGTGATCGAAAAAGTAGTCCAATCTAAACCAATTTCAATAGCGTTCATCCTTGGACTAAAACCTGACAGTGTACCAAATTTCGTCAAAATATCTCTAAAATTGCGGCCTTTAGGTTCGAAAACAATTTGGAGTGATGGACAGACAAGCTTAGATTTATGAAAAAATCATTCTAAATCGATCGATATAAAAAGGTCGATCTAAAGACATTCTTGCTGTTGCATACACGCGCACATACTTGACATACCATTGTGCGACAAGTAGCGTAGAGTATAAAAATTGCAAAACTATTCAAGTTGAGGTAAAATATGTCAGGTCACGCTTATCAATATTGAATAAAGCATGCATGCATAAAAGCAAATAATGACTCTATTCTAATTATTCTCGTATGTTGTGCATTTTTCGTTTACGACAATCGCTTACCTTATCCAGTAGATGCACTTTGTTTCTTTGAAATGTTACGAAATTATGCCAGAGTCATAAGCCGATTGTAAGCATGATCACATAAACATGAAAGACATGAAAATTGGTTTAAAAAAAAAGCCCATTCCATTATCATTGGTTGATATGAATATCAACCACACACACACATACACAAACCCAAACACATTTTACCTAAATTTCATTATTTCTCATAAAACGTCAAAACAAAAATATATATTTTAATTAGTAAAAGCCTATTGGGAAGACAAAATCCATCCAAAGAGTTTGTTTATAAATTATTATTTATTTTCGTTTCGGGCAAATACTACAGAGATAAGCTGCAGTGCCATCGAATGTATGATTGAGAAGAAAGGTATTAAAATGGAAACTAAATGAGAAAATATATAGAAGTGAGTTTTAAAAATGAAAAATTTAACAGAGCATAGACGTGCAATTAAATTGAAAACAAAGTTTTCATAATCTGTAAGAGACTGAATAAAAACAAGACGAGTAAGAAAATTATATTCGATTGCGATCGAATCTTTTATACCCATCATCGTCATTCTATAAAAGATGAGAGAAAAAGAAAAAATTATCATATGCATATTTTTTAATGTTGGGAAGTGCGGCTGATTTCTTTTGTGGGCATTTCTATCGTGTTTATGAGCAAGGGGCAAACGATACCGAACGTAAAGGTGTTCTCAGATTTGGTTGCATAAGCGAGTTCTTTGACCTGTTTAGGGCAGGAGAAGGTGTACTACAGATATTGCACATTTAAGCAGACGGACAGACGAACTGACAAACATGCTTAGGTGCGTTCCGAATTTGAAACTGGCCAAGAAGGAGGAGGAGGAAAACTAAACTTTGATACACTGTAGTATCGGGTAGATATTGTAAATTTTTCCCATTTTTGCGCAGGTATTACGACATCGGTCAAGTTTTGCTACATTCATCTACTATAATTTATGAGCAATGAGCAAAAACCAATTTTTTACTCCTTTTGAAAAACACAGGTCTTCCCAGTTTACGTAATACTGTAGGCACCATTTGGCCCATTTTCAATAACAACTTGCGCCAGAGCTTCAAATGTTTCTGCCAAAATTGAAGCGTGTAGCTTCATTTTGCGGCCAGGAGAATGTTTACACATTGCACGGACCGACAGACAGACATGCCTAAATCGATTTAGAATTTAATGCTGATCAAGAATATTTATCTGGTTTGCAGGGTGTCTGAAACTTCCTTCTGGGCCTTGCAAACGTTTTGATAAAATGAATATACCCATCAGCCTTCGGTGATGGGTACAAAAAAGCAAAGCGTACATGCGAATAAGCTGCAAGTACAGGAAAGCATCTGTAAATTGAAGAAGAAAATAGCAGTGAAATTAAATATATGTAAGATAATATGTAAATTTTCAAAATAAATTGAATTCAAGTTCGCTTTTAATTAAAAATAAATTAGATTAAAAAGAGCTAGAAACAAAACATAACATTAGCTAAGTTCAAGGATACGTCTGCTGCTAGTTAGATGGTTATATAAACAAACAGTAATTCAATTTTTATATAACTGTTTATGCACAGTTGGTTTAGGTGAAAGGTATCTCTATCTGTATGTTATATAGAAAACTTGAAAAGAACTTTGGATACTCGCCGCTGCAAGCAAATACGCAAAATTCTTACAATTCACTTATCACGAGTTTTTGGGGTTGCCAAGCGAAGTGTATAAAATCTTATTTAGCGTGAAAAGCGAAATTAATTTACTTATGTATATCTGTTTGTCTGCTGCTGCTAGTTGTTCTTTCAATTTGTTTATTTATCAATGCAATTCAACTACACTAAAACAACGAGGGAATAGAGTGGACTCATGAAAATAAATGTTAAATTAAACATTAGGGCTAACCTTTATAAAGTAAAAGAACAACCAAAATTAAAATCATGTATAAATAAACAATAAAAGAAAACACACAGTGTACACTTCTAACATAGCGGCATACTCGTAGCAAGGCTAGATCTTAACTATGGATGGGCCACTAAATCGAAGCGAACACGCAAAAGCTTGGCAAAATGAAACAGTGAACGTAATTAGTTTGACTTTGAATCACACGAAGCTTTAAAGATTATGAATTTATTTAGATCTATCGTAGGCAAGACATACATAGTAAGGAGAGCGGTTTAAAGTATCTGAAGAATTCAATATTGGGATAAAACTGTAGCTATCACTTCTAAGTAATACAGTTCTTTACGTTGGGCGCATTGAAAAGGTTTTATGAAAATAGAATTTCTAGGAGGCTAAGAACATTGAGAGAAGGTAATCTCTTCTAATAAGGCAGTACAGTCGATAGCACCATTTATTAAATTAACTAAGATTGAAATACCTAGGATAAATCTACGTTTCTCCGTTTCCAGAGGGCAAGGCTAAAAGAACCAATCTATTATCATGAGATGGCAAAGAGACAAGTGCATCCCTTCCCAAATTCCTAGGGATGAAAAGCAACAATTGCATCTGAAGTGATTCTACCTATAGGGAACCACATGACCGCGATATATTCAAATATAGGTCTTACCAAGCTCATGTGTAATCTTTTTGCTACGCATCCTAACGTATAAGCATTTTTGGTTATTCTAGCCAAAGCATTCGTTTTAAAAGTATTCACTTAGGTGACTTGGTGCCATCTTCCTCGTCTGTTATAATTTTAAAAGTTTTCGTAGAAAAACAAATTAGATATCAAACTTCACGTTACTGCTAAGATAAGCTTAAAAACCAGCTCAAGGTTATTGGAAAAAAAGTCCTAAGAGCTTCCTTAATAACCTACGAATTGCTAGCATCTCCGTTCAGAGAGTGCAAGTGCACGTAATTTTAATGGCACCTATAAAAAACATTAACTGACAAATTTTCTCATTTGATCACAAAGCTTATTAATTAATATAGAAAGGCCCGCACCGAGAATTCTCCTCTCTAGACGTCAACAATACGCAGACATCCCAAAAAGTGTAACATTCTTGTAAAGCAACGATTCGAGAAAGTACCGACCTCCTAAATGTGCTATTGAATTATCCATGTCCGTCTTTCCATCATTTTGTCGTCTATTAGCGTCACATATAATCTAAATTCATTGCGATATCGCAAGTTTTTTAGTTCAGATTGGAGTGACCTATGATCGCTATTATAGTACGAATATTCAAGAGCAATTAAAGTTCAATTTATAAGTGATACTGAAAGTTCTTTGTATTTTGTTCAGACGATACATTAGAACAATCTCAAGCCACATATAACATTCTTATACGATTTTTCAAATATCGGAAATATCATCTATTTTAATCGCTGATGAACATGTGAAAAAAATCAAGGATTTTGTCCCCAATCTTCATTGATGACCTTGTAGAATTAGTTATAGTACCAATCTAAGAACTTGCAATTATATTCTTCCTCCATTCGCTTTGGGCCAAAACAACCCCAATTTGGAAGCGTTGCCATTTTTAACTGGCTACAAAGATGGCGATCTAAATTATATAATTTCTGGTGGCGCTTGCGATCCAACTCAACAAACAGACAAATATGCTTCCCAAGGAGCAAAAAATTCCGTTAGGTATATAAATTAGACCTTTACTGTCCGTTTCGTGAGTCTGTGCTAAAACAATTCCCCTATTTTGCTGGCTATTTTTGAAATTTTCGGTAATATTTCAACTAAACTAATGTCATTTCACAAGTACCGGACTGATCATAGTGACCTTTTATTTTTTTTTTTTTTTATTCTTTTCTTACCTTTGCATCAATGAATACGTTTTGATTGAAGTCATTGTAATCGCTCTGAAGAGCAAGAGAACAAAAGATGCTTTAATTTGTAATCTAACAAAGCGAAATAAACCAAAAAGTAACTGGTTAGGTATTAATGGCAATTGCACCAACTTAACGCACAAAAGAAGTGGACATTGAAAAGCGATATACATACTCTTACTATAAAATTTCCTCTACTTTTTGAATAGTAGTAAATATCAAAGCGAAATTTCATGAGAACGGCAACTAGAACTACTAAAAATTGGTTCCAAAGCCATCCTCATACTAAACACAAAGGCTTTTGTACGTTCATGGTTTTCGCTAACAAGTACAGTAACCAAAAATATTTATGATAGATGCCGAAGTAAGCCTACGTATATTTTTATGATGACCTTTCAAATATGAATAGCAGATTCACAATAAATCGCGTTCCAAGCAAATTGAAGCGAATATCAAAAAAAAAAAAAAAAATGCAATTCAAAAATTTCTATACCTTTTTTACTCCTACACGTAAGCATAGCGTAAGCTTTACATATTATTACCTAACTGTATGACTGTATAATGTCTAGGTTACTAGGTTAAGTAAGTGTTGGTTAAGTTATTTTTACGTATTGTTAATTTTTCTTTTATAAATATTACTATAAGAGAAGAAGAAGAACCACAGGCACACAGTTGTCTACGTCTTACATGCAGTAAGGACCGGAATGGAATCTGGGAGGACAATCACATTAGAGATAAGTCAGCTGAAGTACTTCGAAGGCGCTCAATCGACCGGTTGGCAACGTCAATTTAATTTCGAACAGAGGTATAGAGGAGCAGAAAAATGCAACATACCTGATTAGAAGAAAATAAATCCTTAAGCTTTCAAGTGGGGACCAGTTAGGCATGGTGCGATAGAAAATAGCCCGTTTTAACCAACTAACCAAGACGCCTGACTTTCCATTCTAGGTCGACGTAGAATTCCGTTGGAGATGCAGCTAACCTAGCTAATGTAGAAAACCGCTAGTTAAGATTTGAGGTGTTCATGAATTACTTCTTTAAGCCGACCGGTAATAATTTTATTCCCAATGTAGTTATTGTCTGTCGTTCAGGTAGGAATTTAGACAACAAGCATACTGTCATGGTAATGTTGTTATAAACATATATAGCACTGACTTTTTATTATTATTAATTAGAGTTGGCACGAAAACTCAGTGCGTCTGCCTTGAACGAAAAACGTTCCTTAACGGGTAAGTTAATTGTTGGATATCGTATGTTTTTCGAAGACCTGAAACAACCATCACGATAGCTTAAATTAATAGATTTTCTGTGATAGGAAAAATATTAAGCTTCGTAATTTTCGTGGTTTAGATTATCCAGAAATGTGGCGAATGTTTGAGACTTATGTTCATTTGTGGAAAAATCTCTAAAAGAGCGCTTTTTTTAAGAAAGTTTTCTGTGATCCAGGGGAAATTTAGCACATACATTGTCTAAAGAGTGTATATAATATAAAAATCTAGCGAGAAGCAAAAGTGCCATTTGCGTAGTGACCTTGATTTATGCTTACTTTTAATGTTGGATCGATATGTCCTATAAACACGAATATAAAGGAAATTTCCTCTTTTTACACCCACCACTGAAGGATGGAGCGTATACTCATCTTGTCGTAATGTTTGTAACATCTAAAAGGAAGCTTCAGAGGTTCTGTAAAGTGTATGCAGTATTTATGTTCAAAAATGAATTAAATCAGCCATGCCCACACAAACTTAAAAATAATTAAATTTTCTTTTTTCACTTTTTTGAAGCAAATGCTTGTTAATCATAAAATGAATAAGGCAGGATGCTTAAAACTATTTCGTGCTTTCCTCAAATAATGCCTTAATTTTGAAATAAATATGGTGAACACCACGACCTGATGAATGAGTTTTTGCTTAATAATAAAATATCAAATAAAAGCGCTTGGCCAATAGAATACGAAAAGCTAGGCTTGTTAACCCTTCCGCCTATAACCACGAGTTTGACTTCCGATAATGAATTTGTGCCATAAGCGAAGAGCACGAGTTGAAATTATTGTTTGCTCCCAAACATGATTTATTTTTTCACAATTCCTTTTGGTTCGCCGAAGTATACATGTCATGAAAAGCATAGATTTTGCGCCATGCACTGGAGCATGGCCTAACAACTGAGTAGCACGACGGTCGACTGATCTTCTCGTTTACTATCGGCAATGACGCAATCGGCAAATACTGTGTATGCCAAAAAATTAGTTCTAAATTAATTATGGTGAACGTCACAAAAGGGTACATTAATTCTTCTTAACAGTGTTTGTTAGTGAAGTGAAAGGTCAAACGTAAATATTTTATCCCATTCACTTTTTTATGACAATTAAAAAAATCATGGGGCGCCAAATCTTTTAATGCTGGTGCGTATGCGAGACTCAGCTCCATCCGAATATAACTTTCCTGCTGATTGGCTATTCTTTAAGTTCTTCCCCTATTATACAATGGCTATGTCCACATGCTTGATTGTCTGAATTGATCAAGACCGTTGGGACCACTGATAAAATAGAAGCACAAATTGTTACCTTTGCATCTGTCAGAGAACGTCTCAGGTTATGTTGGACTGAGGGCCCTTGACCGATTTGCCTTAATTCTAATCTTTGCGCCAAATTACAGGCCAATTGCTGAGTTTTCGCGCCCAGGAAAACGCTTAGCGACACACACTACACAGACGAACGGACGGACGGGCGGACGGACGGACGGACGGACGCAATTATGTAAATCGGTTTAGAACTTCATGCTTATCAACAATATATGTACACTATGGGATTTCTGAAGCTTCCTTCTGGGTGTTGCAAACGTCTCGACACAATCAATACACCCCCCGTTATCCGCCGATGGGTATTAAAATAAACATTAAATTTTTTTTTTTATTTTGCTATAACTTTTTTTAGAAAAAAAAAGTAAAAATGATATAAAGTTCTTGAATTCTTTGTTTATGCGCACCGCTGACCACGCAGCGCTGTACATACTTTACCCATCGACTATGCCTACTTCTCTTCTACAAGAAGATCCCGTAAGCACACAATGAGATCAAGTATAATACAATTGAGTTTACCTTATAACTTAAGGCAGTCGTAACAGTAAGGCCAACAAACATTGTACAAATAGTAAAAAACAATACATGAACGTTAAAGAGCACACGTACAACTTGTTTATTATTCATGTTTACTTATCATATATATATATATATATATATATATATATAATGCATTGCATGCAAGCAGAAGCATATATCGAGATACTATTAATATGTAATGTTTGCAGATACTTTAGTATTTTTTATCAATCAATGCGAAAGAAAACAAAGAAGAAAAACAAATGCAACTAGCGCTGCTCTTATTATTGTAGCTTAAAAGTTGCTGCCGACTATGCTGCTGTTGTTGCTGACGGCAACGATATAAAACGAAAGCGAAGACAGCAGCAACAACGCCATCGCTCGACGTAGCCGCGTTTTTTATTTTATATTTGTATTTGCTTCGCAAACAAACCCCATAAAGTGTATTCAGGTAAATTTCAACTTTTTGTTGTTATATTTGTTGCTGTTGCAGCAGCTGACGCTGCTATTGTGTATAACTGACTTGACTGTAAATTAAATAAACAATCAGTTGGCAATTTAATATAAAACAAAACGGTTGTTTCTTTCATTTTACCACAATTTCTTACTTAACAAGCATTGAATTATTTTTTGCTTTTTAAACCTTTTTTCATTTTTTTCCTTTTTTTTTGTGTGCTCTTTTTAAAGTTCAGTTTAATAATAAAAGAACAAAATTCAAGAAGTGTAAGCAAGTGGCTGATAAAAAGAATCGAAGAGAAATCAATTTTCCCTTTCTTCCCTTTTTTTTTTTTTTTTGCTTTCATAAAAAACAATTTTTTGCATACTTTTTCTTTTTTTGTTTAATTTTTGATGGGAAATCAATAACAAAAGAAAAAAAAAAAAAAATTTTAAATAAAATCTAAAAAAAACACTTGTGAATACAAACAAGTTTTACAACGACAACCGAAGCATTAACGTTTTCTTCAGCTATTACGTTAGCCTCACTTTCTTTGCGTTTTTCGCTAAAGTGCATAACAACTGCCGAAAAAGGCAAAAAAAAAAAAAAAAAAGAGAAGAGAAGAAAAAAGAAAGAAAAAAAAGGAAAACCCCAGCAACAATAAAAAGAAAAAACCGGTAAAAAGAAATTCAGTGCAAACATGTTTCGAGCACGCCATCAACTGGACAAGGTAAGTGAATAAGTGACTATATGCAGGTGTGTGTGCGCATACTTTTTTTTTTTTTGTATTCTTTTACAAATTTTATACACGCTTTTGCCAATCTCTAGCTAACAGCTACAAATTTTTGTTGTTGCTGCTTAGTAATACTTTCTCTGCAAAAGCCAAAAAAGAAAAGAAAAACATGATTGATTAAGTGATTAAACACTTTTTATAAACCCTTGCCTCTTGAAGACATATTAATTCCCTCATCCCATACATGACACTTAGTCATAATAGTGGTTCTCGATATTGAGTATTGAGTCAGTAGCTATGGGTGATGAACTCGAGGTAACAAGTAGAGCTGTAAAGCTGTAACCTCCCGTGTCTAGTAACATGTACGAAGCACGATCGATATCGGGCATCATAAACTGACTCTGGATTTCCATCTATTCGTATAGACATTATTGCTATACTGGTATACGATCTGCACCGTCCTAGATTTACATTCCATGAATTCGAGGCTTCGTGGAGGCCAATCCACTTTGAAATCTTCGTATCTCGGAATTTCGAAATCAACTTGAAAAAGAAAGAAAATTTTAAGCATCTAAGCACCTCCAGAGAAGATTTCCATAAATTATTAGAACTTATCGAGAGGCTTTCCCGTTTTCTTAAAAATGTTCTTCTACGCTATTTAACTCAGCAGTATTTTTCACTACGCTTTGTTACTTACTCTATTTACCGCAAATGAACTTTCGAGTAAAGTTTATAGAAATTACTTACAGGAGTCCAGACCAGACTTTTCTACCAAGAAGCTCACTCTACTTCACTCCGGTTCGTAATTATTGAAATAATTTCCTCATTATTTTGACAGCCCTTGAAATATGTCCTAGAAGCGTTACGTACTTAAGAAGAAGATCAACATCTTATGTCCCTTTGGCCCACTCGAGTACCATTCCGTCCATCCAATTCGTCCAATTTGTCTATCTAGAGTCCTGTCTGCCGCCTTGATGCTTCGTAAATCCGACGAAATGTTACGAACATTCTTTGTATTTACGTTTTCGGACAAATATTGATAAGATCGTTTGGCAATATCAAAAAAAAAAAAAAAAACCAGGGAAAGGGAAATCTCAGAAAACAGAAACATGCGGCAAACCTTCGGAAACAATTGATAAGGTCAGCACGACAATTGCAGCAGATAATGGATGTCCAATATTTGTTCTGGGACGAGCATGAGAAACGAAATTTGCTTTTCCATAAGTAACGTATAGCTATTTCGACCAACGCCAAGTTTTAATTTAGAGTCTGTTGCTTATGCAATCGCTAACTCAACGTTTTATTTTGTTGTAAAGATTATAATTTATGGGAAATTAAAAAAAAAAAAAGTAGAAAGGTATATTGCTGTAAGCTCGTCCCGAGGGGCTTTTAAATATTTATTTATTTATTGTCTATTTTGTAAACAAATTTACAGAGAATGGATTAAAGTACTACTGAATAACCTCGCGATCCTTTGTCAGCTGCTCAGGCTGCTCATGCGGATCCTCAAGCTGCTTATGCGTGTTCTTGTATCATATAAAAATTTTGTTATTATTACACAAGTCATTGCCAACTCTGACTTGTACAATCTACCATTCTGAGAGTTTGGTAGAGTATACTTGAGCATAGCTGTAACAACTACTTGGTTGGAAAATGCGTGAAAGTTGTGTTTTGGGGAAGGCATCCACTAGGCTGTGGTCGTCTTCTACCTCTTTCCCCATCTCGTCCCGAACGTTGCCACGTTGCATATGTGGATCATATTGAAGAAACGAAAAGAAAACGAAATAGAAAATAAATTAATAAATAATGTTTAGTTAGAAAATTGTAACGGGCTTAGTTGAAACCTTCGGTACTCGACACGTAAGTGTAAAGAAGCTCTCGGCTGTGCAACAGACAGTATCAAGCTTGATCTGAGCTAAGTTGTGTAAGCTAAAAGCCCTAATGCTTTTACCGTTTCAGTGTACCATTAAGTCCATCAAGTTATCATAAGTGGATGGATGGATGACACCGAAGGATATAATTAAATTGAATCGATTCAATCAAGGATATGCCTTAGGATATGATAAAATCATTAGCATAAAAATTAACAAATAGCTTCGATTTTTCGAGCTTAACTGTTAAATAGCTCCATAAAAACTCTGTCTCACGTACAGCTATGTACACACTTTTCTGATAACCGGTCACGATTGCGGGCGGACTACGCTTCATCTTAGGCTATGTGCCCAGTATAACTTTTGAATGGACGCCCAGACAGACACAACTGAACCGATTGAAAAAATCGTAGATTAATTAAAAAAATGCCTGCTGTATAGCATCTTTCAGGCTATCATAAAAAGTAAGATAACACTTATCTTTGACCAGAATAAGATAACACACAAAATCATTTTTCAGCCACAAAGTAAATCGAGTTAATGTTAATTGAAACAAAGCATTACTGCAAAATTTTAAACTGAATACATAAGTCGAAAGGCAACAAACATTCATTTCAGTCATTCATCACAAGTTATTTTAATTCAAAGTCTATACGTGACTGCAGGCACGATTTGCTTTGTTAAAGCCTATAACTGCAGCAAATGTATGCCTTTCGTTCTATAGCATAACATTTACATAGATCTTTGTGTGGCTTGGCGCGGAGAAACATTCAAGATAAAAAAGCATTGCGTACATGTTTGGCGAAATTTCAATAATCTAGTGAAACTCGTATTTTTAGGTTAACAACAAAGAACTTGTTCTCAAAGTAATGCAAAAACAAAAACAAAAAAAAAGAAAAGAAATTCAGGTTCGCCAAAGTTATAGCCAATTAGGTTGCAATGCATTCATTCATTGACTTTCTATAGCGATTTTAATTCGATTCAATTTACGTCTTTTCCGTTAACGTGCGTTGATTATATAAATAACTAACGGCAATGACGTTTTTCCATTTTTTTTAATAATTTATGCAAACGATTTTTTTTATATTTGGCTGTTGAAACTGCGAATAATAATATAATGTTGACGATATCTCATTTAAATTATAATATTACGTTTATCTCGAGAAATAATTTAAATAATTTTTTTTTATACAAACATCAAAAATTTGATAATCAATTATATTTTTATCATTTCAATGATTCATTATAAACTCATTCCTGCGATGCGTTAGATAATCCAAAAATTATTCAATTCAATAAAGACAATAACTTTTTTATAGACACATAATTATAACCATAGTTACGTATAGATGTGAAATGTAAACAATACTTATACGCTACATCACTTGTAGTGCAAGGGTTTATTAAGTTTGCGCGGATATGTGCAACATGCAGAAGAGCTTGGGACACATATTACATGTATTATATCTGAACATATACCAGAAGAACTTTTTGAATCGGTTCAAACCCATCCTTCCGTCTATCTATTCGTCTTGTGTTCTTGTGTGCAACCTACAGGCCGCCATATTTGACATATTTCAAGGGAGTTTGATATACTGATGGGTTTTAGCCCAAGCAGAGACCTCATTGAAAATGGTTCCGATTGAATTACTTTTCCGACCACTTCCCATATAACGCCTTGTTTTAAAAATCCGTTATATGAATAGTTGTAAGGTTGTATAGGGTATTTACCCAGTATAGTGATTTTACTTGTTTTCAAATCCTAAATGTTCGATATCATTTGTGGAGACTGTAACGCGTATATTAACTCATTTAGAAAGCAAAGAAAATTATGGCTTATTTGATGAAGGGCTTTAAACGGATTCAAAATCAAATCTTTAAAAAGTGTAGGCAGTGACCGATTTTCTTATGAGCGACAGCTTTCTCGTTAAACTAAGTTCATACCTGACTATGGTAAAAAAAAAAGTGTTTTATCAAGTAAAAGGCGTAAGAAAAATATATTCGACCAAAGGATAAAGTTTAGAGGCTCTCAAGATGGTCAAAGGATTGTTCGCATACTTTAATGCTTGGCAAAATTTGACAAGTACTCTGCCCTATGTGCTTGCACTGAAATTTATTTTTATCAGTCGTGTCAGGATCAGTCAAGTTATCCAAAAACTTTTTATTTAATATGCCCTTTTTTTTAAAGGATGTTTCTCTATTTTACCGTAGCTCTGGCTACTTTTCATGTGCTATTTAGTGCTATAGTCGGAAGGGAAACATCTCTACCGTTGTTAAATATTTTATGCACAAAAGTGGAAAATTTCGACCTCGCGCGCTGCCATCTCGTTACTCTAGAGTGCAGAAATTTAATTTTGTGTCCTTTTTTTTCTTTGAGTAACAGTGTTAGACTTAGAAGATGTAGCTACCGTCGAACATAATTTTTTTACTTGGCATTCCCTTTCTTAAGTTTTGGTACAATGGTATACTAAGTTTGTACGGATGTGTGCAGAGGAACTTGAGGTACACCCACCTTTTATTATACCGAGGTAGGCTTGCCTGCACGTCTGTCTGCCCTTTTTCTCATGCTCAATCTACAGAGCGCAGTTTTTTAGATACCTTGGTGCAGACGAGTTTTGACTCAAAGCCGACTGCTCTTGAAAATGATACTGTTCGGAACTCTATTTTGACCATTGTGCATATAATGCCTTACTTCGAAAAGTCGTTTTCTAAATAACTATCAGGGGGTACAGGATATTAAATGGACGTGGGCCACTATCGTGTGTTTACTTAGTTCTATACAAATTCAGAAAAGAGAAACTTTTTTAAAGACCACACAACGACATCGCTCGTGAATCTTACTCTTAAGGCAAATAATAAGTTCTGCAGCCTCTTTAAGAATTGCGTCCTACTGTGTGTTTGTAGAAACGCACGTATACATTCACAATCTGACTGTGATCGTGTTATGAAAAAATTTAATAAATTTCTAAAAATGAATTTGAAAATTAGTATGCCACTCATCTTTCATGATTGATATTAAACATGGACATAATTGAAAGTGCGTGAGAAAATATAAATTAAACAACTTAGATCGAAGAGAATGAACGACAATAGAGTTTCTAGTTGCAACTTTCAGTTATTGGCAAA